GGAGGAGCGGCATGGTGTGGGAACATTTAGGAAGGTTGAAGACCAGACGAGCAGCTGCATTCTGGATGAGCTGCAGAGGTCGGATGGCACATGCAGGTAGACCAGCCAGAAGGGAGTAGCAGTAGTCTAGGCATGAGATCATGAGAGCCTGGGCCAGAACCTGCGTCGCTTTCTGGGTCAGGAGGGGACGTATCCTCCTGATGTTGTAAAGCGTGTATCTGCAGCAGCGGGTTGTAGCAGCGATGTTTGCAGTGAAGGACAGTTTGTTATCTAGGGTCACACCCAGATTCCTTGCAGTCTGAGTCGGGGAAACAACTGAGGTGCCGATGTTGATTGTCAGGTCAAGAGTGGGACAATCTTTTCCCGGAAGGAAAAGCAGTTCAGTCTTGTCAAGGTTGAGCTTGAGGTGGTGAGCAGACATCCACTGAGAGATGTTTGCTAGACAAGCAGAGATGCATGCGACGACCTGGGTCGCTGAGCGGGGGAAGGACAGAATGAATTGGGTGTCGTCAGCGTAGCAGTGGTATGAAAAACCATGCGGGCTAATGACATATCCGAGCGAGTTTGTGTACAGGGAGAAGAGGAGGGGACCAAGAAAAGAGCCCTGACCCCTGTAGTTAATTGAGAAGGGTCGGACTCGGACCCTCTCCAAGTTACCCTGTAGGTACGGTCTTTGAGGTATGAGGTGAGGAGGGAAAGTGCAGAGCCTGAAACTCCAAGTTCTTGGAGAGTGCGAAGGAGGATCTGATGATTCACCGTGTCGAATGCAGCAGACAGGTCCAGAAGGATGATAACAGAGGAGAGGGAGGCTGCTTTGGCCGTGTGCAGCTCCTCAGAGACAGCAAGGAGGGCAGTTTCTGTTGAGTGACTTGCCTTGAAACCAGACTGGTGCGGATCCAGAAGGTTGTTCTGATTGAGATAACAGGAGAGTTGTTTAAAGACAGCGCGTTCAAGTGTTTTAGACAGGAACGGGAGGAGAGAGACAGGCCTGTAGTTTATAACATCGGACGGGTTGAGAGTGGGTTTCTTTAGGAGAGGGTTTACTCTTTCCTCCACCCCATGCTTTGTGGTGAGCGCGGAGAAGGTGGGTAGCATCAGGTCTGGAAATTCAGCCAACAGCCTGAGAAAAGTGTCTGCCCCGACAGCGAGCCCGACAGCCGCCTTGCCAAGTGTACACACGAGGAAGGAAAACGTCAAGGCATCAACCAAGCTTTTATTTTTAACGTCCACCAGGAGTCATAAAAAGTCTGCCCCGAGGAGGGGAAAAGAAATGTCTGCCGTCACAAAATCTCAGTTGAACCGCTGTCCTGCAATACACAAACACATAGGCCTCACGCCGTACGTGCGAATGAGGCCGCCATTAGCCGTCGTCAACCGCGGTCCGTGTCCCCCACGAGCGACGTCTTCCCTCGACGCAGGAAGCACACTCCGTTGAGCGCCTGTGTCACACAGAAACAAGCTTCCTGAGACTCATTAATCAAGACAAGGTAAGTACATGTGCTGCTCTGTATGACAAGCTATCATGAATGACACCAAACCCCGGTACCCTCACTAACGGGTCCGGGTTGCAACACAATAATCCCAACGGTGAATTATGTCCCATAACGTGTCACCACACAATGCTATTTTCTATTTAGAATGAAGACTTCAGAATCTTAAAATCCCTTGACGTTTTTATGCAATTGTGCTAAATTCAACACTGGAATCAAGCAAATATGAATATGTTTGCATGACATTAGTTATTTATATTTTGCCACCACTTAATTATACGTTTAATACATTTAAGTCAAGCTAAGGTACATGTGATGGTAGCTAGTTAGTACTCTTACCTGTGATGCCTCGTCCAAATAGCATAATAACCAGACTCAACCCAGAAAATGTGGGCATTGTCTTTTTGGATAAAGCTGGACTAAAACAGCATTTAAAGATATGTATTGTTAAATTACCTAGTTTTTTCAAGACAATTGAAGTAAGTATAATATATAAATGTATAGATACCACACTCAAACTTTCCCGATTGATAACTTACATTAAGCCTTTTTTTTCTTGCTGCAAGTTTCCTAAAAGTATATTTTCTGATGCTAACTTTTAGGGAATTTAGGAGATAACTACAGAGACAAATAAACTAAGTCTTTGTTTGGATGTTTTCTTTTTTTCTGAACGAATACGTTATGGAAGCACAAAAAACTGAACTCTCAGAATTTACCAGTTCCAAAAACAGCCTGTAGTTTTTCACCAAAGGTTAATAGCAGTGGAATACTAAGTGGTTTTCAAAGAGATTAAATAATAACTATGATGTCAGACTGAAAGCCAATAGGATCGGAGGTCTGGAGAAATGTAACCTTTTGCTTTTTCCTGTGTGTGGGATTTGCAGTGTTGGCTGATAATGATTCTGTCAATCACCATGAAGTATTGTCGTGCGGGCAGAATGTGCTGGAATATATAACGTTTGACTCAAATGTCAATCTTCTTTTTCTCAAAAGATATACAATAACCTCTAAAGAGTTTAAATAATAAAGTCCCTATTTCCTCCATCACCATCTCTTTCTGCTCCTTCCTCCTAACACTATTACTTGTCTATCATCTTCCCTCATCCTCCCTCTTTCCTCTTTTCTCAAAATTAAAGCATAGTAAAGTAGAGTGTGTTTTAGGGTCACATCAGGTAATAAATGTTAGAAAGCAACAGGTGGTAGAGGTATTAAAAGCATTAGAGGATGTCTCGTCAACCCTTCCTGTGTTTTTGAAAAGGTTTAGTCTGTGACCTCCTCTATATTCATGTTGCATAAAGGAGTGGAGAAAGGAATGCTTGTGACCGGCTACTTCCACACTTGTTTTCACACAAACTATTTTGGGATGTGTTTGCATTTCATCCAGAGTTAATCAAACTCCCTGTTGTTGTTGTTTGTCCTTTCTTTTTAATAAGGTGAGACGCTACAGGCATAAGCAAGTTTTTTCATGCAGTTTATTTTCATCTTCAGTCTAGTTAAATGACTCGTGTTGGTCTATTTGTGTCTGTATACATTTCTCTTAAATTCACCAAAAGAAGGCATACAATTATGGCTCATTTACATTATGACACATACAATGTCAGAGAAAAAATATACAACACATACTAGGAAATTGTATACTCATATATTTTCCCTTATTCACCTGTAGTGTATTGAAGTTCTTTAAATACGTTTTTTTATACAATAAACCATTAATCTCCACTCCAGTTGCACTTACTTACACAAGATCATTTGTATTCCTATCTTCTTAAGGGTTCTACAGAGGGGTGTTCATATATTAATGATAATCCTGATTTATATGACGTTACACCCCAAACCATGATAAAAATAGATTATTATTATGTTGAAAGTATTTTACTAATGGTCAAGTGATGCTTATGCTAATTGTTATGTTCATATTTGTATGTTGTGCCTCTACTGTGACATGTTTATATGCTTTAATGTTCAAAAGCTCTTTATTCTTCTCATACTGCCTGTGCTGCAGCACCTCTTTTCACCCTCTGTCTGAAACCAGAGTCCAGTTTGTTCTGATTGGTTAGTTGGCCGGCTCTGTTAATTGGTCCACCACTAAGAGATGTCCTGCCCCCTGAGTGTGCCGGAGAGAAACTCCCTCTGGAGGGAACACAGGTATTTTAGCCTTTGCAGACCATTTACATTCACACAAACCTATATCACACACTACAGGAAAAGGAAAACCCCAAAACCCATAATAGGGTCCCCGTAACTCATAATAGGGTCCCCGTAACTACACCTGTTATACTACAACACATATGAGTGACCTGCAAGTATTATCAACAAATAAAAAAAGATTATAATGATAAATACAAAAATCCTAAATATGATTAATAGAACATTTTAGAATACTTCTTCCTTATCCAGAGGTAGAGAAAAGAATACATGTAGGCAGTTTAATAATTGGAGCGTGTGTGAGCATGTTAGTTTCTAAATGTGCGAGGGAAGGTTTGTGTGTGTTCCCACGGTCTGGGCAAGGCAAAGAGAAAACTTGGTTCTTGTGTCAGATTGTGTGCTAAGTTTGTAAAGCAATACTGCAGTGTATCAGGGAGTATGTGAGTGTGTGTGGCTTCAGGCCATCTGGAAAACAATTCCCCAAACCACACCTTTCTTCCCGGCTCCCGTCACTCACCTTAGCCCATTTGTCCTTATAAGGTCATACCTGCAGCTCGGCTGGTGATTGGACGGAAAAAACACACATTTTGATTTAAGCACACACAGAGGCTGGCAAACCCACACCCCCAGACTGCTTGATACTAATCGTATCTCTGTATGCTTTTATACTGAGTGTGACTGCTTCTAATAATGCCATTGAATGAACCCAATAACTATATTTGACTGTGTGTTTCATTCTCAATAATTGTGATCGATATTCCTTTCTAAAGCAAGCTTGATTGTGATTTTAAAGACTGGAGTGGTACAAAAAGAAAAACTTTAAAAAACAATAAAAGTCAGGAGTTATAAAGTTGTCCCACGCACACACACACTTCTGGCACCTGTCCTTTCTAGACATGCTGCTAATAAAATCCTGCAAAAACACACAGTGCATACCTGACTCTGCACACACAACACTGTTTGTTTATGTGTTTTCAGAACCTATGTGTTTGTTTATGTGTTTTCAGAACCTGGAGGACTGTTTCAATAAAAATGGGATGGTGAGATGTCTCAAAAAAAATTCCAGATGCAGCCATTTGAGGAAGTGTCTTATCAGGGACAACAGGAAGTTGCTTAGAGAAATTAGCCTCTGTGTATCTCCCCCCAGGCCACATTTTTTATGGCCATGGATTCTGCAGAAAATAAAAATCCTTTATCTGTCATCTTACTGGGAATTTCTCACCCACGTTTGCAAAGCTAAAAATAATCATTAATGCATAAAAAGTGGGAAAGAAACTGTAATTTCTAACAAGTTGTTGTATTGAGTTGTTGACTGGAGAAACAGCAACCTCTAGCTGTCAAACAAAGCATTACAGGAGGTTTGGATGATGTTGTGACATAACGTTTATTAACACACAGATAATGAAACACACTATGAAATTGTGAGATGTTTGTATCAATGGATGGGCTCAGAGGTCTCCTTCAGCCTGAGGACTCTCCTGTCGACTCCAGCTCAGATAAAACGGCTCTGGATGGGACGGAAAAAAAAGAAAAAAAGACAGTGTCAACAAAAGTGATCATAAAAACATATGATTTTGTCTGTGTACTGTTAGACATTTTTAAAATAAATTCAAATAAATAATCCATCATTGTTAAAATGGCCGATGTTGTCTGTAGAATTACAGTTATCGGTATAGGGAACAACATTTGGAAACTTGTTTTTCTTTAAGTCTCCGTGTCCTCCTCCTCCTCCTCCTCCTCCTCCTCCTCCTCCTCCTCCTCCTCCTCCTCCTCCTCCTCCTCCTCCTCCTCCTCCTCCTCCTCCTCCTCCTCCTCCTCCTCCTCCTCCTCCTCCTCCTCCTCCTCCTCCTCCTCCTCCTCCTCCTCCTCCTCCTCCTCCTCCTCCTCCTCCTCCTCCTCCTCCTCCTCCTCCTCCTCCTCCTCACCTCTGCTCCTCGGTCAGATCTAACTCAGCCAGGGTTCTCTTGGCCAATTTGGGTGTAGCAGACAGACAGAAGGCTGCAGACAGCTGGACCAGCTCCACGGCTCTCTGAGAGGAACCATCGCTGCAGCACACCGACAGGAAGTCCTCCAGCAGCGGCTCTCTGCAGGGGAACACGGCAGGAAGTCAGAGCATGAACCAGGGCAGGACGATTTGGAGAGAATCACAACATCACTATCCATGGATTCTGTGTCCATATTGTACGGTTGACCATTGATGCTCCCACAACACTTTTAGATCATGAGAATTTTGATAAATAATGATCAGTTATTCACAATATTACTTCACTTGACGGTAATGCAGCCTTTAATATATATGTCTGTCTGCTTGTTATGTTTATATACATATTGTTATTCTATTTTGTATTTCTTCTTTTTAATGGGACACTTGACTAATGTAAAGCACTTGTGCTATTTACAAAATCTAACCTTTATCACAGCCTTATGACAAATATGTTTTTTTCTATGTGTAATAACCATTTAGAGGTTATTCACAAATTTATATTATTTTCCATGATGGTATTTTTCAAAAATGTAAATGACCAGTATATATTTGTTGTTATATGTAAATTGATGCCATACATTGGCGCTCTGTGGTCACACACACACGATGTACACTGAAAGACATTTGAAATATTGACTTAAATGAATGTATTATGTAAACAGATGACTCATAATTGTAATAGGTTAATAGGCAATAATATTAAGTACTATTGTTTTCAACTAACCTGACTTTAATTAAAGTCAATGTTGAACATTTTCAGTTTAAAGAGATGTTCCCCTTTCTAAATCAGACTTCTGTGTTTATATTTGTTGAAGTGACTCACTTTGGAACTCTGTTCTTAGATTTGAAGAGCTTCAGCATCTCCCTGCAGACACAGAGAGAAAAGAGAAGTCCATTTACAATCCTCAGCGATGCAAACACAGGTATGGTGAAAAAAGAGAGAACTATTCGAAGCAGAAAAAAACCAGCGTAATAAACCATCTGACAAAGGCCTGTGCTATAATGCTTCAATTAACTGTTCTTTATAATATACTCAGATCAATAGGAGACAGAGATGTTAAGTTATAAATCAAGGGTTTTTATTATTATTTACAGCAGGGGTGGGGAACCTTTTTCCTTTTAATTTTTACAACATCCTTCGAGGGCCGTACAAAAGATTGAACTCAACCTCTGCTTAAAAAAACTAAAATCACAGCCCATTCATTTCGCCTTTCTTTCATGCTGTGCAAAGAACAAGCAACCTCTGAATCCAGATATCTCACCATGACTCGCGCACGCATGCATGTGCACGGTGTGGCGTGACCACCAAAACAGAAAGATATGGACACAAGATGTGTGCAAATGTATTTAGTTTCCTATCCATGTGAACATGATTTAAGTGGGGGGGGGGACGGGGGACCTAACTATTGAAGTTAAAAGCATCAATCTGGTGCACTTTGAGAGCAACATGAAGAGATCTATGGATACATCTCTCAACACCCAGATGAAACAGAACTGTAAGCAGATTTCTTTTTTTGGACATTTTACAAATCACTCTCCTTTTAAACTCTATTCTTGTTATTTTTAACAACTTTTTTGTTACTGTCATATAGTATTTTATACCTGTTTTTCATTTAGTCTCTAATGTCTCATTAATAACTATAATGATCATATCAAGGTGAGGGATCGAGGCCGATACCGATTATTAGTAATCAAGGAGACCGATAACCGATATTTGGAACCGATATACATTTGCAGTAAAATCAGAAAATCTTGGTGTTAAAATGTAGAATAACACAAACTCCAACACAACTCAACACAACTTCTTTGAAATGCATTTAAGCATATATTATGTTTAATGAGCTTTTAAACATCTTACAACTGGTTTCCTCTCTGTGCCCTTTTCTTTAGTGCAGTCATCTGCAATGAGTTAGAGAGAGAGACAAGAAGTGGGGCTGCAGGCTGACATGCTTAACTAACAATAATGCTTAATGTATTATATCTGTCTATCTAGCATACAATCCCAATAAGCTGCTAGCAACTGCAAAACACTAGTGCTAGCTAATGTTTGGCAAACTATTAAAAGTGAGGCTATTACAGTAGACCTAACGTTAGTCTAGTAGCCTCACTTCTAATATTGTGCTAAACATTTGCTAGATACATGTTGGCTAGCTAATGAGCTTCACATATCAACCTGAAAAACTCCACTCGCAGCCCCCCCCCACCCCACGAGACGCTGCACTCACCCCCAACTCTGACCGACTTCCCGCGTCCCTGTGTAACTGGGAAACTGATAGAATTGGATCATAAGATCGTGGTGTTTTTGCAACTTCAGCATAGGGGATAGGGATGTTTATTGAACTTCGGTTTAACACATGTATGGCTCTGCCACTCAGCGCTGCTGCTTGCTTCAGTCTGTGGCCGTTTCTCAATCGCAAGTAAAACTGCTGCAGAGCAACTATTTCAAGTATACTACGTCATCGAGTGGCGCCGAAGGACTGTTTAAAATGCATGTTAAATGCCCAGCATTCTGTGCTTCAGTGTTGATTGACACTTCAGTAATAGCCTATCAGATAGCGCTGTGGGCGGGACATAGAGTGGTGACTGCAGCCAGAGAAACGGCCGCATCAGAGCCAAAGTTTTATCGGCAATTTGATAAAAAAAAAGGCCGATACCGATAATCGGTCAAATGCGGAATATTGGCCCCGATAATCGGCCTGGCATATATGCCGATATTCCACCTGGTTGGTAAAGCTCTTTAAATTCCTTAGCATAGCTAGCTAACCAGATGCTAATAACAACAGATCGCCACTGTGCTTACAACTAAAGACACAGCCACGCAAACACTGTGGTGTGTAAGGCTCCTGCAATATTTGAAGAACTGGAGCGACGTTTGGATGTTCCGGTGCTCTCCGTCAGCACTCTAGTCTACACTCCTTTCAGACGAGACATATACTACGTGAAGAAACATTACGCTCGTGTTGTGTTCAAGGAACTTTGAATCAGGAAAAACAGGCACTCCCTTGTTTAATTATTTTGCGGTCTAGATTTCTTCTTCTTCTTTTTTGAAGAACGAAACGAAAACTCTTCGGTTCTCCACGAATTACACAAGTCACCCAAATCAGCTTTAAAAAAGCGGGAGGCGCCGAAAAGCGACTAATTTGCATCACTGAATCCTTTAAGGCCCTGACACACCTACCCGATTTTGAGAGTCAGAGGCCGTCAGAGGCAGTCGGCATTCGAGGCGCCCTAATCAGGTTGGTGTGTCCCGCACCGTCGTTGCTTTACGGCACATTTTCACACCTCCCCAAAGAAAGTCGGCCAAAGAAATCACTCTGATTGCTGTTGCCTCTTTTGAATGACGAATACACACTACCGCTGCCGGCTGGTAAGGGACAGTTATTGCCATTCGTCGACTGAAGTCTTTGCGGTGTGTTCGTAGGCGGGCGGCGTAGGCCGACGCAGGCGACGTCAAAAGTCGGGACCGCCTTCGGTACGCGTTCTTTGGTCGGTGGGTAAGTCGGACTTTTAGGCAGTGATGAAAAGCTCTCCTGTGATTGACAGAGAACACAGCCCCCCCCCCCACCTCACCAGGCCTCTCGGGTGCTTGTTGGCGGCGCAGTCTGCAGGGAGGTGATGTTGGAGAGGTGAGGTGGGGCTCCACTCCAGAGGGTGCTTGCCGCCTGGCTGCATCCGACATATGCTTGATGGCCAGAGCACACACGTGCGAACGCCGCCTGGACCGCACAACACCAAAGCACACACGCCACACCCACACCCACACACACACACACACACACACACACACACACACACACACACCAACACACACACACACACACACACACCACACACACACACACACACACACACACACACACACAACACACACACACACACACACCACACACACACACACACACAAAACACACACACACACACACACAACCACATCACACACACACACACACACACACACACACCACACACACACACACACACACACACACACACACACACACACACACACACACACACACGTTATTGACATAAAGCCCCTTCTAGGCTTTAATATGTTCAATTTTTTCCTCTCAGCTGTGTGGCGCTGACCTCAGCACTGTGCTTGTCTCGGGCCATCAGCATGAGCAGGTCCTCCACCAGGTCAGCGTTATTGTCATAACCCAGAGCACAGATATCTGGAAACGGGGAGGAAAAATATCATTATGATATCAATACTGTAATATCGTCAGGGTTGTCTTTTCCTGGTTTTAAAGGCTGCATAAAAGGATGTCATCATCTGTTTTAGCTCTTTTCATATTTGCCTTTGCCTAGTTATTATATCCACATTAATGGTGATTATTTATCATTTTGTACACATACCCCTTCCAGATGGTGGGCAGCAGGTCCAGGCGGCTGTCTGTGTCCAGAGCCTTAAGCAGGGTCATTCAGACCCTGGGGGTTCGGGTAGTACAACTGCAAACCCACAACACAATCACAACTACTGTTATAGTTCCATCAAAAATGTCTACGTCAAAAAAACTAAAACGATCCAATCTTTTCACAAACTTTAAGTCTGATCATGACTACCAAATGCTTCAGATGCCGCATTGTTTACATTAATGGTATCACTGATTCTCAAGCGAGACATTATAAGATTTTATACTGACCGAGGGAACAAGTTTTCTGTACCACGTCAGCACCACGTCGATGTGCTCCATCATACACAGCAGGTTGAAGAAACGCCGGCTGGAGAGGAGAGTGAGGAGAGATGAGAGAGAGGAGAGAAGAGAGAGAGAGGAGAGTGAGGAGAGAGGAGAGGAG